ATTATATACATAGTGGAGGATGTTTACCATTGGAGATTGAGGCCTAAACAATGAATTTGCAAACTGCTCCAGATAATCTGGCTTTATCCTAAATACCAACTCATGAACAAAAATACCGATTACAATAAATGCAGCTTTGTTATTTGTTTTTTTTTTTCAGTTGGAAAATCTGTATATGCACAGCAATGTTGCTCAGGGTTGGAAAGCATTTACTATGCCAAATATAAACATGTTAAAATGATCCCTTGACATCTCCTGTGTCTTTGCATATTTATTTACCAGGAAGAATCTGCTTATAGAAGTTAGATTTTTTTAAATACCAGATTTAATTAATTAGATTTTTTTTAAATCAATTCTGCTTTCTTACCAACACCGCTCTCCATGAACAGTGATAAAAAAGATGGTAACTGTTTTTGTGTGGGCTGTGGTTAATCTCCAGACAGGGTTGTTTAGCAACCTAAGGTGATGCTAAGGGCCAGGTTTTCCAGGCAGCCTTCGAATTGCAACCACAATGTTTGCAATCCCAGCTGTTTGTGAGTGCAGGAAAGCCCACAAACTTGCAGGCTTTGCTGCATGCAAATGATTGTGTAAGCTACACTGGTAAATGTAGAAACTGTTAATCCAACAAATTAAAGGAGCAATGTTTCTCCAGGAAACTACAGGATGGAGGAGAGATCATGGGAGAGAGATCTCAGAATCTCTTTTCTCCTTCAAGTCTTTTTCTGTAGCTGCACATGTTTGAGGGTCATCATCATGCTGGTTGAATCTTTCTAGTCTAGCACCCTTGGGACCTGACCTGTGTTGAACCAGAGAATTTGCCGAACCACGGGAGTTGAATATTGTCTAGAAGAATTACCAACACTTCCGCTGCTTACTGGGCTGTTAGAAGACATTTAGGGGTAAATTAGAGCTAAATAACAACACTGAACATTGAGTTCCAGGGCTGGTGGCTGTAAACAAACTTTATGGGACTGCAGGAAACTTGGCCTCACCCATGATAAGTGGATATCCAGCTAACTAAACTCATGCCAGACCAGAGAGTTTTAACCTGTATTGGAACCTTTCACAAATATGAATGATCTGAGCCTCACGTGATATGTTCTTGCCACTTTAGAGGGAGAACACTGAGGCAGAGAAGTGCTTTGCCTGAGGTCATACAGGGCATCAGTGCAGAACTGGGACTAGAATTCAGAACACCTGACTCTAAGCACAGGGATAGCATCAGACTCTTTCACCTTTAGGTCATCTTGAGACCGTTTGTGAAGTTAGCTTGAAGTTTTCAAACCAAAGATGTTTCTCTCCAAACATCTGAAATGATATTTTTTGTGTGAAAAATGGCTGAATTTTTGGCGTGTTGCAAAGTCTAGTCATGCCTTTTGTTGACTGAATTTCTCTTGAAAATAGTTAAAGAAAATGTTATGAGACATAGTCAGTGAAAATAGAAAAAAATCAGAGGGCTGAAAAATGGGTCTGCTTTAAACCCTTCGAAACAGCCAACACTGAACGTTGTGTGGAAGTAGATCTTTCTGTAGCCAGCTGCAATGGTTTGTAACAGTGGAGCCTTGCTTGTGTGTATTGCTGCAAGCAACTTACCTGTGCAGTCCGCCTGGCTGGGACTCGATAACTTGCTTTTCCTAGATGGTTGTAGGACACTTAACCATCAGTTCCTTTGTCTACCTGTTGGGATAGCTTGTCTACCTGTTGGGATAACTGTGGAGGCGTTTAGTGTCTCACCAGACAAGTGAGTTCTGCCCCCTACTTCTACTCTCTCCAGCATCCAAGGACAGAGGCGGCTCCCTTCCAGAAAGAATTCACACATGGAATGCTCAAGAGCAGCTGATTGATATGTCGTTGTATTTACTTAGCATTGTCATCCTGGTGTTCCAACAGCCGTGGTTTTGTTGTTCAATATTAGACTTGCTCATTAACCAAGAAGCCAAGGGGAAGAAAGGCCACCTGTAGCTATGATCCACTGGGGCCAAGTGTCAAAAGCTTGTCAAAATGGCAAACATCCCTATGGATAGGGATGAATTTAATGCCATCCAGAACTTTTCTCATTGCCACGATGCTAGAAAAGCATCCAGCATGAGTGACACAAGGTGAGAGAGGCAACATGCCAGTTCCTCATCTTCCTCCCCCACTGTTCTCTGCCTCCTCTAGAGCGGGAATCCGCCATTAGAATGTTTCTTAATCCATTTGTCATACGGTTCCAGGGAGGGGTCCACATATCCATGGGTCATGATCATTGTCCCTACAGTCCGCCTCCGGTTGGTAATGGCACTGTTCTGCTGTTTGTATCCCATGTCTCACTACGCTTGAAGGGATTGGATGCATGCAAACAGTCCCTCCCACATACGACACTCATTGCACCTCCTAAGTAATGCTGTTTTCTCTAGCCTGGATGCCGTTGCAGTCCCATGACCTCAAGAGAAGCTGCCAGATGGGGAATAGTTGGCATGGGGCAAAGATTGCTATTGTGTCAAGGTTTTGGCATGCCACCCTGCATGATGGGAAATAGGCTCTGATCCCAGGCAACAGGATGCAATTGGTTTCTTGCTGCCTTGTACCTGCCAAATCCCTGGTAGGATAAGTAATTCTGGCTGATGTCATTCTTTTTTAGGTCCGTATTTATTTTTACAGGCATCTGCATGGTTGGACAGCTAGATCTAGACTCATCCTCTATAACACCCTACAAATGCCTTGTACATTTCAGGCTCTGGGAATAAAACCCACCCCGACTCTCTTCCCTTGTAAAATGGCTGTGGTCTAATTGAAGAGCTCATAACTTGCTCTTTTTTATGACCAGCTGATATTTTTCTATTTCTGCAGCAAGGCAGGGTTGTTGTTTTTTTTCCCAACAACAGGGTTGAACATTCAGCTGAAAGGAACCAAACAAAGTAGGTGAATGCTAGTGCTTTTAACTCAGATCTGCACAGACAAGTGGTTTCATTAAAAAATAAGGGGAAGGGAACAGAGTCCCAGGGAGACCCGTTGTGGGTCCAGAAGAGGGTTCTACAGCATGGGTATGTCTAGACTGCATCCCTCTGTCAGCAGAGGGATGCAGATTAGGCAGGTCGACATTGCAAATGAGGCAGGGATTTAAATATCCCGTGCCTAATTTGCATGAAAATGGCCACCGCGTTTTGCTGACTCAGCCCTTTGTCGGCAGAAAGCGGCAGTCTACAGGGGGATCTGTTGAGAAAGAAAGGCTTTTTCGACAGATCCCTTATGCTTCCTGCAATGAGGTTTACAGGATCTGTCGAAAAAGGCTTTCTCTCTTGACAGATCCCCCTCTAGACTGCCACTTTCTGCCGACAAAGTGCTGAGTCCACTAACGCAGTGGCCATTTTTATGCAAATTAGGCACGGGATATTTAAATCCCTGCCTCATTTTCAATGACGACCTGCTTAATCTGCATCCCTCTGCCAACAGGGATACCCTATGAGACCAAACAGGCCATATATCACTTACACTCTGACAACTATTACAGCCAACATCTTTGTTATTTCTTTGGTGGCAACATCCAAGGCTCCGTGTCCCTCCCAAACACGAAAATCAATTTAAGTAGCTGCTTTCCCCTTTCTCTACAGCCACTTCCACAATAAAATATAGTTTTCTACACTCCAAAAATCAGAGCCAACCCTACTTTCCTCACGCACAGATGAGCCTTGCCACAAGCTAGAAAAGGCAACAAATTAGGGCCATTGTTCTCTCTAATGTTTTCCATCCTGTGTGCGGAATACAGTTTGTGATGTGCACCCAGGCTTAGGCAGATGTGCACCACCAGTAAAAACATGTGCCGCTGGCTGTGGGTGCTCTGTTTATCAGCTGGACGTCATTTGACTCTCTCCTGGGTGTTCGCCCAAGCACTCAGCTTCCAGAGAACACTGAGCATGTCTATTTTGGTCTATTCGGGTATGTCTACACTATCCCGCTAGTTCGAACTAGCGGGGTAAAGTATGCATACCGCACTTGCTAATGAAGCCCGGGATTTGAATTTCCCGGGCTTCATTAGCATAAGCGGGGAGCCGCCATTTTTAAATCCCCGCTGCTTCGAACCCCGTGCAGCGCGGCTACACGGGGCTCGAACTAGGTAGTTCGGACTAGGGTGCCTATTCCGAACTACCGGTACACCTCATTTCACGAGGATTAACGGTAGTTCGGAATAGGAACCTAGTCCGAACTACCTAGTTCGAGCCCCGTGTAGCCGCGCTGCACGGGGTTCGAAGCAGCGGGGATTTAAAAATGGCGGCTCCCCGCTTATGCTAATGAAGCCCGGGAAATTCAAATCCCGGGCTTCATTAGCAAGTGCGGTATGCATACTTTACCCCGCTAGTTCGAACTAGCGGGGTAGTGTAGACATACCCTTCCAGAGCAAAGGGTCCTTTATGGAGAGTATTCGATTGCCATGCCCGCCACACCCCTCCCCGCCACTCCATTTGGGGATCGAGCTCATGTACTTCTTCTGATCACAACTGCATCCATGTGGCAGGAAGAGACAGGTGATCTGTCAAGTTGAAGGCCCTGTGCTGTTAGGATCATAATGGTCCCTTTTGGCCTTAAAAATGGATGCTTCTGTAAAACGAAGGCCCTGATCCAGCAAGCTGATCCTTGTAGGGAGACCTCTGTGCTCACACAGATCAGTTTACAGGATTAGCCCTAGGGTCCCGAGTATCTAGTCATTACTTGGGCAAACCTTTTATCACCTTCAATGGGACTTCTGCCCAGAGCCAACAGGTTTGGTCTTCACAGCATGTACAACAGCACTGAAAAGGGTGTAGGGTGGCAGCCAGTACACAACATGCTAAAGAAGGGCGGATTTTGGCCACGGCCAGCTTCTTAAAGGTGCCCTACGTTCTTTCATGTTTGCACAGGCCCTGATCCAAATCCCATTGGAGTCGAGGGGAAAACTCTCGCTGGCTTCCATGGGTTTGGGTGAGGCCAGAAAGCAGAGTAGTGTCCTTAGGTAAAAAATGTTTCTCTTTCTCTCTTCTGCGCAGGTGCTGTATTCTAGTTGGCTGTTATACGATGCCCTAGAGGTGGCTGCATTTCAAGCGCGTTGTATACTTTGGGAAGCTCCTTGGAATATTTGTGATGGAAGGGCACTAATTTTCTGCACAGATATCAGATATTGTTTATGCTAAGAGGGTAACTTTCTGTTTGATCAATTTTTTTTGTTGTTGCTATACCTAAGATACAATTTTCAGTCATATTACTCTCTGAAATTGAACATATGGTTAGAATATTTTTTTTATTAGCATTAGATTTCTTGTAAGCTTCTTGTATGCTAAATGGTCTCCTACTCCATTACTAACTCATGCTCTGATGAGCAGAAAAAGCTACAATGACAAGAAATTCAGATGGCTGGGATTTATTAGGTTTTCTTGATTTGTGTCACTTAAAAGGCTTGGACTGGACTGGTCCAATATACTGGCAACTCTCTCAGGTTGCTCTCTAGTCCTTCAGAAACTCAGGTTTTATTTTTATAAATCTCAAGCTTTCATGAAAGTAAAGAGAAACATTTGAGTTAGTGTCTAAAGTGTTTAGAGCTTACTCTGTAAACAGAGCTTAGAGAACTACTTACTTTTTCCCTCAGTTTGACTCCTAACTTAAGTGCGGGTCTAAAACTAAGAAAATTGATTTTTCATATTTCAAAGAGATGAAGGGAAAATGTACAATTGGATAGTTCTAAAAAAATACATATTGCTCTGGGTCTGGGTCTGGGTCTGAGTCTGCACTCTTTACTCAGAACTCCAGTAGCATTTTCTAGTGACACTCTGATCAGTTACATATGGGCTCAATTCAATATTTTTATTAACTTCATTGAGAAATTCAAGTCGAAGGAATATAGTATTACCCTTAAATCAATATTTAAGTGTAACTATATTATTAAAATAGGTTCCAGTTCTGCACCATTGAAGTCAATCAGAATATTGCCACTAGGTTTAATAGTAGGATAATTAAACCTGTGTTATAAATATGCTATAGTACTGAATATAGAAAATTATCAGTTGGGATCTTTTTGATGGAGAAATCAACAGTAAAATGACCCTTTATTACTATGTATTTGAAACAGTTATTCTCTTTGGGTGCATCGACACAGCACCCTAAACTCAAAATAAGATACGCAATTTGCATTACGCAAATTGCATATCTTATTTTGATTCTATTTTGAAATAGCTTATTTTGAAATTTGGCGGGTCTACATGGCGCCAAATTTTGAAATAGCACACTATTTTGAGACATCCCTTAACCCACATGGAATGAGGGTTACAGGGATGCTGAAATAGAGCGCTCGTTATTTACAAAAATATTTCGAAATAACGGGCAGCTTGAAATAATGCAGGATAGCTGTTTTGAAATACCATGCAGTGTAGATGTACCCATATGGAATTGGCCAACTTTAACTTGTGAAATCTCAGTGGTTCTTTCTTTCTTTCTTTCTTTCTTTCTTTCTTTCTTTCTTTCTTTCTTTCTTTCTTTCTTTCTTTCTTTCTTTCTTTCTTTCTTTCTTTCTTAATTTATCAAGCTTAAAACAATCAAACTTCCTTAAAATTAGTCTAAAAGACCCCGCAAGATAAAAATCAACACCAAGCTTTGAGTTCTTACACAGATGTAAGTGATAAATAGCTAAAGTAACTTTCATATTTAAAAACTTAAAAAACAACAAATAGTCTAGCAGCACTTTAAAGACTAGCAACCCACTTCTTCAGATGACCGGACTGTTGGACACTCCGTGGGCTGTGCCCACGAAAGCTCATGATACCATCTACATGTTTTGTTAGTCTTTAAAGAGCGTATAGACTATTTGTTGTTTTTAAAGTTTTTCCTGTTACAGACTAACTCGACTACCCCTCTGAAGCTTTTATTTTTAAAAAGGTTAAAAAAAAAATGCCTTCTCATTTGTTTGCCAGACTTCAGTCTAAAGAGAACTTTTGCCAGGTATATATGAACTTTTTTTTACTAGAGGTTTTGTAATGAATGCTATAATGCACAATCAGAGGGGTAGCCGTGTTATTCTGCAAAAACAATGAGTAGCCCTGTAGCACCTTAAAGACTAACAGATTCATTTGGGCATAAGCACAGAATGCAACTGATAAAGTGGGTCTGCCCATGAAAGCTCATGCACAATTAATTATAGCAGCATGACTGACACTGCTAAAATACCCTTTTTCTATTCTAATTAGATTTTGGTGCTGATGAAATTGTAAGAAGAATTAGTCTTGCCTAATTTACCCTTCAATTAAGTCAAACAGAGGGCTAGATTTGAATGAGAACTACATCTCAATAACAGTAGACAATGCAGTTACTATGGATTTATACCCATGTAAATGAGATAAAAATGTGGCCCTTAGATTTTACAAACATGTAAATGAAATACTAACTCTGTGAAGCACTCTCATGCTACAGGTTTGTTTTTCTTAACTGTGCAACTGACTCACTTACAGCTTGTGCCAAATTTGACTATCGTAGAGATTTGGTTTCCTGCCAAGTCTAGTGTGCTGATTTGTATGGCAACACTGGCAATTTAAACGAACGTTTACATTGACTGTTATAGCACAACATTATATTAGGTCAGGAAGGCGGCTCTAAATTACCCCGTGTTCTGCAGTGTGGCTGCAGCACGTCCGAGGGAATGAGCTCATAATGAAATGCTCTGGCTGAGCTTTAAAAGCTGTTTAAGGGGCATACCGTATATTATCGCCCTTTATCAAAGCTACTGTGAGCATGACATGTTAGAAACTCTTTTGGTGGTGGGAATTAAGCTATTTGTTTGACGGATCAGTATCGTGACAGCCATTTCCTGCACATTCCAGTGACATCGTCCTGCGCTTGCCAATTTGCTTTAGACATGTTTACGGAGGGAGAAAGCCACCTTTGGACTCGTTTTCACAAACATCGTGTTCTGTTATGAAAACGTTCCCAAGGCTGAGGGTGAAGAGTCTGGCTCAGAAAATGTTCATCTCCAGACCGTCTGGTCTCAGTTACTCCTTGGGTAAATTTGGAGTCATTCCCTTTGCTTTAATAGAGATGCTTCGGATGTGCATGGGTGTGACAGAGCTGTGACCTTTGCTCTTCAGTGGTGAACTGAAATGATCTAACATGATGGATTTTTTTGGAGCTGTAAATAGCGCAAGGAGGCATGTTATCAACTCTTCTTTCTCACTAATAAAAGTATGAAAAGTATAAGAATGTCCGATGGTATCAAGGCTCACGTGTTTCTGTAGAATCATAGAAACATAGGGCTTGACGGGACCTCAAGAACTTATCAGTGCCCAGGCTCCCACATGGTGGCAGAGATCTGAGGCCTAGTCTACCCTATACCCCAGGGACAGGTGGGCTTGAGTGGGGCTGGGGCTTACCCCCCGAACCCTCCTATTCTGCTCCTCTCACCTCCTAGTCTTGTCCACCCACCACGGCGTCTTCCTTGTGGTGAGGTCAGTGGAGGATGCTCTCTCATCGATTTTGCGATAAATCGACCACTTGCAGATTGATCACTGCAGTGTCGATCCACTGTGTAATGGAGACGAGCCCTTAATTACAATCAAGGGCTAATACTGCAGAAGCTGGAATTCAGCACTTCACAAACAATAGCAAGGAGATGTCATTTCTCTCCCTAGATAGGGGTGTTTCATCCCTGTGGTCAATAGGAATAATGAGCAACATGGATGTTTTAGCCCTTCTTTCAGCAAAGCATTTAGGCATGTGCTTAAGTCCTGGGACTAGAGCCACGCACATAAATTTGGACCTGAATTAAGCAGAATTATTTAGGACAAAATGGCGAGAGAGTAGGAACTGGGTAGCAGGTGATGCTTTCGGAGTCCCTGATCCATATCCATTAAAATTGATGGAAAGACTCCCATTGATTTTGTTGGGGTTTGGCTCGGGTCTGAATTGTGGTGTACGTGCCAGTCATTTGTTTTCTATTACCAGCTGGGGGTCGAGGAGCTGTTACTTCCTAAGCAGGAGGTACATCTACACAGCATCTGGGAGGCGTAATTCCCAGAGTGGATAGACATATCTACATTAGCTGTGCGCAAGCTGTCACCTAAAAATAACAGTGTGGAAGTGGCATCACCGATAATGGCATGGGGTATTTCTTGAGTACTTATCCCCCTGACTCGGTGGGTAGAGGGGCCATTGACACATCCCCAGAATACCAGACTTCCCCAACCCTGTCTGCATGATCCCGCCTCTGCCGGTGCAACCTTGTGCATTTTGCCGAGTGTGTTGTCCTGTCCCCATGGGCAGGACCTGGCATGAACAGTGTGGGGGCAAGGTCACGCCAGTGGAGGCAGAGCAATGTGCTCTGCTAAAGGTATCCTCTGTGCATCCTACCAAAGGAAACCACCTCTAACTGTATCTCAGTTCTGGATGGGGAGACAGGATACAAAAGCAGGACTGTCTGGCTTAGGACCGGATGAAGAGCTTATCTATCCCTGATTTCTTATCCAGGGAGCTGACTCGAGTTGCCATGGCCATACTGCTATTTTTAGTGCACTAACTTGGAGCAGAGCTAACGTGTCTGTCTATCCATACCCAGCTGCTGTGTAGACGTACTGGTAGTTAGAGGGACACATCTCCCAATGTGGATAGACATGTGGAGCACCCGGCTTGTAGCTGTGCTGGCTTGTTTTATGCACGGCCCCTTTATGTGGAAAGGAGACTTCCACATGGTGCAGCCCTCATGATAAAACTGGGAGATTTATCCCCTTTCTGGTGCAAAGGTAGCTGCAGTTTTCTGTGCGGGTGCTGCCTGTTGTAGGGCAGAACTCATATGCTATGCTCCCGCCTCGAGGCCTTATTTTGGTTCTTTCTTGCTTTGGTGTGAGTATAATACCCAATAAAATGCAGATTAGTCAGACTGAAAGTATGTGGTTGCTCTTGTATGTGAAGGCAGAATGTGTGTGGCTTCTGAGACACACCAATACTTGGAAGGAGATCCAGGGAACTCTTCCAGGTAACAGCCACGCCAAGTTGCATCGGAGGAAAGACCCTAATATGAGCCCCAGTGTTGACTAATCTCCCGGTTTTCCCATGAGGGCTGCAGCATGTGGAAGTTTTACTGAAAGTCCCAATGGTTGGGAGTTATGTGAACATGTGAGAATCTCAGCTTTCTTTTTTCCTTTCCTTGGGCATGTCTTCACTACCCCGCCAGATCGATGGGCAGTGATCAATCCCGTGGGGGTTGATATAGATGCAACAATACAGCCAAGCACTCTCCCGTCCACTCCAATACTCCACCAGAATGAGAAGAGTGAGAGAAGTCTATGGGAGAGCATCAGCTGTCAACTCACCATGGTGAAGATACTGTGGTAAGTAGATCAAAGTGTGTCAACTTCAACTACGTAATTGATGTAACTGAAATTGTGCAGCTTAGATCAATGGCCCATGGTAGTGTAGCCTACGCTTTTAAATCATGAGTCTGCCCTCCAGAAAATACACTTGGGGTTCTTTTTATTTGCTTTCTGGGTTTTGAACATTTAGGACATGTGGTTTTAAGCTTTATTCCACAGCCACAAGGGCTAGAAACTTTTTTTGGGGCTTTGAGAAAAAGACCAAATATTGCACGATCACATTAAAAACGCAGAAGTTGCAACCTCTGTGACCAACAATAGAATGGACTCATCAGCTGATCCAGTCTCACGTGGGCAGAATCAATGAGAAGGGTGTTTTTGCAGGTTGTGTTTGGTCTTAGAACTGAGTTTGGCTGTTTTTGTAATGAAATATGGTTCTGAGATAGTTGAGTGCAGGAAAAAAAATAACCCCGCCATAAATGGCTAGGCCTCTATCGTATTTGTGTCACTTAACTGCTCAAACTGATACTATTTAAATTCGTTACAAAAAAAAAAAATGTTTGCAACTGAGCCAAGACCATGTCTCTGCTAAATTTCACTCCAGAGTAAAATTTTTACAGCCAAGTTATTATCCCCTGGAAAATGAAACTATCACAGAAGTGCTAACTGCTAACACCACCTTACCAGTAAACCACATTGCTTTACTAAAAAAGGAGCGGTCTACTTCTTATTAAACATAGTCATGACTTGGCAATGTGGAATTGATAACAATGAGATGATTATGTGTCTGGTGCATTTCGCAACAGGTAAATCTCCTGGGGCTAAAGAATATTGGGCTTATTTATCACCTCACTGAGGTCCTCTCTGTCCACCGCTACATCCCTGCCACCATCACTGAAATTGATGGAAATTAATCAGGGCAATATCTGCCCCTCTGTATTTGTTGCTTTACGTGCATCACTATATATAGCTACCTATTCGGTAGTAGTGCTCATTGGTGGTGACTCATGTTACTGGAGATACCGTACACCAGTGATCTCACTGCTGTGGAGTGGAACTTGTTTGTAATGAAACTGGGTTCAGTGCAGCTCCACTCCTGAGCCCAATCTTAAGAACATAAGAACGGCTATATTGGGTCTGAACAAAGTTCCATCTAGCTCAGTATCCTGTCTGCTGAAGGTGGCCAATGCCAGGCACCCCAGTGGCAATGAACATGTAGTTCATAATTTATGTGCAGCCCCTAAGACCACCCTCAGGAATGACCTAGGGTCTCTTGGGCTGTATGTTTGGAAGCCTCTCTCCAAGACTATAGCAACGTCTTGTTGGCTGTCTGCTGCGGGTAAGGATTTAGTGTAGCACACCTCATGGAACTAGAGTAGCATGCCCCATGGATCTAGGGTATCCCACCCCGTGGATCTAGCATATCCCACCCCATAGATCTAGCATAGCATGCCCCATGGATCTAATGTAGCACACCCCGTGGACCTAGCGTAGCATGCCCCATGGATCTAGAGTTGCACACCCCATGGATCTAGCGTATCCCATCCCATGGATCTAGTGTAGCACACCTCATGGATCTAGAGTAGCGCGCCCAATGAATCTAGAGTAGCACGCCCAATGAATCTAGAGTAGCATGCCCAATGGATCTAGAGTAGCACACCCCATGGATCTAGCGTATCACTCCCCATGGACCTACAGTAGCACGCTCCATGAACATGTATGCACCTCATAACGTAACTGGCCAGAGATGCTGGTGCAGGGTGACTCAGAGACCCTGAGTCAGAGGAACCTTGGCGTTTTTAATTAATTCTACTTATTTTCTTTGTGGAGGAAAGGTTGACAATCCAGGCGCAGATCCGGCATTTCTTTGTAGATGCATTCCAAACACACACAGCATAAAAACCAGTGGCAAGCCCGTCGGCTAGAAAGGGTGGGCACAGCACTGAGATACTGTATCTGGCTCACCTTGCTGCCTGCCAGTAAAATTCTTTCCATCTGAGTCCTATGGGGTGGTGCTAGGTGTAACGGAGCCCTTGGCAAGAGACGTCTCTCGACCCCGTTCCTGCCTGCGAATCAACAAGCTGGTTCACTATCTCCACCTCCTCCCGTGTGACACCTCATCTGATCTTTCCCCAGATTCTCACGAGGATGGGGAACTTGTCTCCTTGCCAGTTTGTTTCCTCCTCCACGCTTTAGGGATGGGCTCCTGGAACTGGGGAACAACTTTTTTCCTTTCACAGAAGCATGGTCCCTCTCTGGAAGAGTCGTACCTTCGGCCAGCTTTCATGGGCAGACTCATGTGGACCTAAAAGCCTGTTTGCCAAGTACCGTACGAGTGGTCGGTCCCCGTAGACATAAAGGAAAACAGCCACTGACCCAAGGAGCTGACAGGCAAAAGCATCGATTTTGCAAGGTGCTGAGCACCCACAACTTGCAGTGACCACTCAGCACCTGGGTGGATCAATTTAATGCCTGTGACCAGTAACCCCAGTGCAATTCTGTGTTGTATGTGTAGGCCCATCGATGGGGAGCACCACTCTGCACGTGCCACATGGCTCTGAGGACTAAGGGGGACCCCGCACTGTTATCTGAGCGGCATTGAGGGCTAGGTGCCCGTGGCCCCGCCTCTTCCACCTGAGGCCCCGCCTCTTCAAACCGAGGCCTTGCCCCTTCCAGGGGCATAGTGCAAGGCCCCTCCCACACCTTCCCTGCAGATTCACAAAAGCTGTCAACCCCACCTCGTATATGTGCAATTCAGGATTCCCCCCTTGTGCATCAAGGTAAGGCGTAGGCTGTAGAATGACAAATTCTTTTGATTTGCAAGAAAGAGGAGAAATAACTTGTAAGCTCCGTTGCACTAACAAGAGTAGAAAATGTGAAAATATGCTCTTAGTTACTAAAATAAATAGTTATGACTTCAAATGAACACGGGAAGCAGATCTGGTGAGCAAGGAGGTGCTATTTGAAGAGAACAGTCGCTTTTATGGCCTCATCTGCTCTTTAAGGCCAGAAAGACCTACACCCCCCTTTGTGCACACACAATTTATTTGGACTCAGTGTATCTACTATGAAGGGGTAGATAAAGGAGCAGAGTTGATTCTGCTGAGCCTAGATCCTGCAGTTTTAGGGAATCTAGATGTATCATTTTTTTCTATAGGCATATACTTTCATTCTGAATAACTTTTATTTCACAACTAGGGCTGCCAATATCTCAGTTAATTCACACACTTAATTACAAAAAATAATGTTTACAAAATTAATTGCAATTAATTTCTGTTTTAATTGCACTGTTAAAAATAGAATATCAATTGAAACTCATTACATAGTTTTGGATGTTTTTCTACATTTTAAAATATATTGATTTCACTTACCACACAGAATCCAAAGTATGCATGGCTCACTTTATATTATTAATTCTACTACAAATATTTGCACTGTAAAAATGATAAACAAAAAATAGTATTTTTAGATCACCTCATATAAGTAGTGCAATCTCTTTATCGTGAAAGTATAATTTACAAATGTAGATTTTTTTGTTACATAATTGCACTCAAAAAGAAAACAATGTGAAACTTTAGAAACTACAAGTGCACTCAGTTCTACTTCTTGTTCAGGCAACCATGTAGAGAAACAAGTTTGTTTACATTTGCTAGCGATATTGCTGCCCGCTTCCTATTTAAATGTCGCCTGAAATGAGAACAGTTGTTTGCCTGGTGCTTTTGCAGTTGGCATTGCAAGATATTTACATGCCAGATATGCTAAATCATATGTCCCTTCATGCTTTGGCCACTATTCCAGAGGACATACTTTAATGCTGATGACACTTGTTACAAAAAAATAATGCATTAATTAAATTTGTGACTGAACATGTTGGGGCAAAATTGTATGTCTCATGCTCTGTTTTACCTGCATTCTGCCATATATTTCATGTTACAGCAGTCTCAGATGATGACCCAGCACATGTTTGTTTTAAGAACACTTTCACTGCAGATTTGACAAACCACAAAGAAGGTACCCACGTGAGACAGAGACAGCACTCAACCCAAGGTTTAGGAATCTGCCATGCCTTCCAAAATTTTAGAAGGAAGAGTTGTGGAGAATTATTTTAGAAGTCTTTAAAGAGCAACATTCCAATATGGATACTACAGAATCCAAACCACCAAAAAAGATGCTGGTGGCATCTGATTCAGATGGTGAACATGTGCTGGTCCGCACTGCTTTGGACCATTACCAAGTAGAACCTGTCATCACCATGGATGCATATTGTCTGGAATGGTGGGTGAGGCATGAAGAGACAAATGAATCCTTAGTGCATCTGGCAAATATATAGCTTATGACACTCGCTATAATAGTGTGATGTAAACACCTGTGCTCACTTTCAAGTGAGACTGTAAACAAGAAGTGGGAAGCATTATCTACCGCAAATGTAAATAAACTTGTTTGTCTTAATGATTGTCTGAATAAGAAGTAGGACTCAGTGAACTTGCAAGCTCTAAAGTTTTCATTGTATTATTTTTAGTGCAGTTATTTTATATTTTATTCTACATTTCTAAGTTCATCTTGCATGGTAAAGAGATTGTGCTACAGTACTTGCAATGCAGGAATTAAAAAATACTGTTTCTTTTGTTTTTTACAGTGCAAACGTTTGTAATTGAAAATAAATAAAAAGTGAGCACTATGTTTAATTTAAATCCATATATTTGAAAATGTAGAAAACACCCAAAATATTGACATCAATGATATTCTATTATTGTTTAATGGTGCTATTAATCATTATCAATTTTCATAATTGCTTGATAGCCCTGTTCAGAACAAAAGTAAATTCTTCATGAGTGAGAGCACAGTGTGTGCATTTCCTCTCTAACAAGCTGCACAACTCTGAGAACTCTGAATGCACGGTGAATTGTTGGGAATGTGGCAGTGCAGTACAAAAAGGGAAATAATATTCTGATTTCATAGCTGCATATACCACCAAAAGTGTTCTAAAACAAATGCCCACCATTGCAGGAACACATTGTCTCTTTAATACCGAGGAGAAAATAACTGGCTTGTTGGTAACTCAGCAATCAGACATTTCCTGTTAGCGTTTTCCAGAGGCAGTACACGAGGAAAAGATAAAAAATTGGGCTGCAAAGTCAGGCAGCCATAAAAATTGGGAACAATAAAATAGAGCAAAATTAGTTACAAAACTGCTGAAGGTTTTTTCCTCTTCTGGCCCTATCCAACACAGTAATCAAACTAATTTTCCCTGGGTTATGAATTGCATCTTGGAGGAAGTGGCAAACAGAGCTTGAAATTCAGAGAATCTCTTCTCTCAGAACAGGTAAACAGCTACAAAGTATTGAAATATTTATAGTAAAGGAGGAAAAAAACATGTCACCAAAAATATGAAGTGTTTCTAGCCACTAACCAGTGCTGCACCCCTGTGTTTCAATTGCCATGTGTTCTAGATCTTGGCAGGCATTTCAATCTTTTTATGACTTTTTTGCAGAGTAAACTTTCACCTAAGATAACGCGAGGGACATGAACATAGATGGTGAGTGGGGATATATAACCTGAGTGCAGCACGTGGATCTATGTACACAATGTCTGTTTTGAATCAGTGAACATGTCACCTAAGTTTTCTGTAGCAGCTTATTATCTTATGTTAAATGATTTAATAACCATGTATTAGACCTTCTAATGCTAGCAGACGGCTCTTTCTGATCCAAAGAAAATACATTCCACCTCGAGGCCAAAAAAAGAAAAAGAAGTAAAAAGGCAGCGTGCAAATGCTGATTTAGAGCCAGAAGATTTCATGTCAAAAGTCCCCAAGATCCCTTACAGTAATTGCAAGCAACACGTACAAGATCTGAGTTCAAATAGCTTGGAGTGCTGAAATTCAATCTGTTTCAGGTCAAAAAGCCAGTGGGGAATTGTCTCTGACAAACAGAAACCGTTGAGGCTAGTTTGGAACCTAGCCAAAAACTGATTTAAAAACTACAAAGCAAAGTCGTCAGAAATATGCCCGACAAAATTGTATTTAGGGCCTGATCCAATTCCTGAAAAAAATAGAAGCTTTTCCACTGACTCAGGGAGAACTGGCTCAAGGTATTGGAGCTGGGCTTGGGTCAATCCATCTAATTCCTTAACTTGAAGAAAGTTTCATTCTGACTATATTTCTAAATACAGTTTATTTTCCTTAGTGTCCTGCATGCAGTGTTCATGAGTTGCTGTGGGAAGTGCAAGAGAGAGAGAGAGAAAGAGAGAGAACAGCTCCATATATTGACAGCATGTTTTATGAAAAGTTAAGAAATGGTCAAACTTTTTCCTACCAAAACCAGAAATCCCAATGGTTCCTGGTCCCTTCTGCCTTCTCTCCCTCTTTTCCTCAGTTTTCCAGTGGTGAAATGGAAAAAGGAAAACAAAGAGGAAAAGGGGGGCACCTGTCAAGTATCAGCGTAACCTTTTGTGGTTTTACATCACAAAATGTGAAATTTTGCATCTTTAAAAGCTATTTTTTATATCCAAAATAATTTTTGTGTGGAAAAATGTCTACCAGCTTTGAGATAGTAGAGATATTAATGGACATCCAAGGAAGAAAAAACATAATTTCAGCTGATCTTACAAGATAACTGGCAAATTGAATGAAGAAGAGCGAGGTGGGGAGGCGTCTCTGGCTAGAAGAGCAGCAGTGGAGAAGGCTTTTGCATCATTGGTACAAAATCATAGTAGCTTGTGTGGCATGAATTCATGGTTGGTGCTCTAAGTCTCCCTGGGATCTCAGGTTCCCAGCCGGGTAAGACTGGCTCCAGTCATCGAGGTATGGTGAGTAGCAGGCAGTTCATTGTGGTGGAGAAGTCGTAGGGCCTAATTTTGCACTGCCTTGTATGCTGTGCGTTGCTTCTGGAAGGGGATGTGAAACACCACCAGATGGGAAAGACTTTGGGTGGGCATAAATTAGGCACAGAGTGTAAGGCAGAGGAGAGTCGGGCCTGAGGCCTGGAATATGGTGATTGTTAAAGGCCATGGAATCCTAGGGCTGAAAAAGACCTTAGGAGTTGAGTCCAATTCCCTGCCCAAAGCAGGACGAACCCCAACTCAATCATCCCAGCCAGGGCTTTGTCAAGCTGGGACTTAAAAACCTCTAGGGATGGCAATTCCACCACCTCCCTAGGGAACCCATTCCAGTGCTTCACCACCTTCCTGGTGAAATAGTTTGTCCTAATATCCAACCTAGACCCTCCCCACTGTAACGTGAGACAAAAGCTCCTTGTTCTGCCTTCGTTCACTACTGTGAAAAGCCTCACTCCATCCTCTTTGGAGCCTCCCTTCAGGAAGTTGAAGGCTGCTAATAAATCCTCCTTCACTCTTTTCTTCTTCAGACTAAATAAGCCCAAATCCCTCAGCCTCTCCTCCTTTGTCCCTCCCTCTGTCTTGCCTCCTTTACGCTCATTTGTGAGGCACTGTGAATCGGTGTGGCTACCACCAGTAACATTAGCTGTACAACCTTCCTGCCTGTAGGCACTGGCTGTTAATCTCCATGATGCCCCTGCGGTACTTCATGTTTTAGAAGAAGCCATGTCAGCACAGTGCAAATCGTGTCTGAGGCCACTTCTCCACTTGCCAGAGGAGAAGTGGCCTCAGACCACTCTGGCGATCGATCTTTCAGGGTTCAATTTAGCTGGTCTAGTAAAGACCGGCTAAATCGAATGCTGAGGGCACCCCCATTGGCACCAACACTCCTCACTGCTGCAAGGAGTAAGGGAAGTCCATGGGAGCATTTCTTCCATCACCCTCCTGTTGTGGAGATGGTGCCAAGCTTGGCTTAAGTTACGTCGACTCCAGCTACATTATTTACTGTAAGCTGACCTTCCTTCCCCCTCCCCCATGCAGTGTAGATCTGTCCTGAGGCAATTTGTATTTAGCAGTATAAGCATAGATGTTTCATTAGGCTGCCAATGAATAACAAACTAAAATGGATAAGTGGGTTTTTTAGGCTCTGCTCTTTCCTCTGACACCCGGCCAGGAGGTGTGGGTGATCTCGGGAGCTGGGAGAGACATGCCCAACCGCACTTGGACTCTCAGGTGGGAAGCAGCTAGTCACAAGCGCAGGAGCCTTTCCAGTCCAGATGCAGTGGAAGTGCCAAGCGAAACAAACAATCCTTGAGGTTAAAACGTCAAAAGCTGGAATTGTATGAGTATCACAAAGCCAGATTGCTGAGTCTGAGAGGAGAGTTCCAAAATCATGACACACAACGCAGGTGTCAAAGGGTTGCAAAGAGAAGTGCTATGCAGCTGATGCAGTGCCGTGCCTGGTGGAGGAGTCATTAGCTGGGGCGGATGTCAGAGCCAGTGCAAACTGGTGGAGATGAGTAAGGGACAAAGCTTAAACACATGCAACTTCAATGGCTGGTTCTTCCTCAGGGATAACCTGTAGGACCATAATATTGGGCTTTTAAAATGTTTATCTTGCAGTAGCACACAAAGGCCCAGTCGGGATTGGAGCCTCATGATGCTAGGCAGTACAAAACCACAGAGATGCGATACACCCAGCTTGGAGAGCTTGCTGTCTAATTTAAGAGATGATGTAAGATACAAGCAAATGATAGGAAGGAAGAGGGGAAACCAGAGTCTGATCAAAGAGCTACATGGGCTGACAATGAGCATGACTGGATTCCTGCAACTGTTTTCTAAGCTTGAACTGACAAGAGCACAAACTACATCTTGGTATTGGACTCAGACTAGCGTAGGTAACGTTTGAGCTGATAAATGGTAGGAGGTGCCTAAACCCCTTCCATTGTGTCCTTTGAAAGACAGAGCGGGTGTCAAAATCATCCCCATGTTCTTCTGCTCATGGGTGAGTCCAAACTGCCAGTTTTGCATCTCGATTTCCAGCACCACCATATGCCAAGGTTTGCTTTGGCCTTTATAGAGATGAAGGCTCTTTGCAAAAGTCAGCTCTCAATCCAGGGACCAATTGCTGATGCCCTCCAAGACTGAGACTGTTCAGCCAGGAGAGAATTCAAGACCATCTCCAATGGCAACAGTAAACATCAGCTCCACGTCTGGAGGCAACAGTGGAATCTAGCGTCAACAGAATTCCCACTGTATCATCTAACACAGGGTCTATGTCTAGACTGCAGGCTTCTTTCGGAAGAAGCTTTTCTGGAAGAGATCTTCTGGAAAAACTTCCTCCGAAAGAGAGTGTCCACACTGCCAACATGCATCGAAAAAGCGATCTGCTTTTTCGAAAGATAGCATCCACACTAAATGGACGCTATCTCGCATTTCAGCTGTGATTACTATGAACAGAGTGGCCAGCAGGGTACCTGTGCCTGAGTTTGTTCTGTTTTAGAGCAGGGTTCATCATTTTGGTCAAGCTAAGGGGTCTAAACTGAAAGGCTACGTCTACACTGGCATGAATTTCCGAAAATGCTTTTAACGGAAAAGTTTTCTGTTAAAGGCATTTTCAGAAAAGCACGTCTAGATTGGCAGGATGCTTTTCCACAAAAGCACTTTTTGCGGAAAAGCGTCCGTGGCCAATCTAGATGCGGTTTTCCGCAAAAAAGCCCTGATCACCATTTTCACGATCGGGGCTTTTTTGCAGAAAACACTACTATGCTGTCTACACTGGCCGTTTCACGCAAAAGACTTTTGCCCGAACGGGAGCAGCATAGTATTTCCGGAAAAGCACTGATGATTTCACAGGAGATCATCAGTGCCTTTCTGGAAATTTAAGCGGCCAGTGTAGACAGCTGGCAAGTTTTTCCGCAAAATCAGATGATTTCGCGGAAAAACTTGCCAGTCTAGACACAGCCAAAGGCTCTCAGGAAGCAGCATGGCCCAGTGACTAGGACACCGGAACGAGGGATGGGATTTTCAAACGTATTGAGCATTAGCTTAACTCTGTTCCCATGGAAGTCTCTGGGAGAGCTTTTCATTGACATCATTGGGAGCCGTTAGCTAGTGCTGAGTGCTTCTGATAATCCCTGCTGGTTGCAGGAAAGCTGAGTTCTGTTTCCCCATCTTTCGCTTGCCTGCTAGGTGACCTTGGCCAGTCGCTTCACTTCTCTGCTGTGTCTGTGTGTTGCTTAAGCACCTGAGATGCTTGCCAATAGCTTTGAGGCTCTAACTGTAAGGCTCCGCATTTGAGAATGTTGACCAGGGTTCTTGTGTGTTTCCGACAATAGAGTTTTCAATCATAGAACATTTGATTCGCAAATTCCATGGGGTCGGGGGGATCGTAGCCTATGTGCCATCACCAGGTTTCTTTCCGAGCAGCCTTACTTTCAACACTCTTGTCAGTCTGTCCTCCAAAGGAAAAAGGTCAAGTCTGACTTTCTGGACTCACAGGCCTGGCCCCTGGGGCTTATCAAGGAAGAAGAGGGGATGTAAGAACTGAAGGGTCACAGCTGCTAGTGAGGATAAAATAACTCTTGGAAACATGTTTAAAATAATAGCCGGGAGGTAGAAATCATTCCAACCACCCAAGCACTGCCTGCTCCTCAGCAGTGCTGAACCCCGACTCTTCCTGCCATCAGTGAGAGAAAGGGA